CAGCAGGAACCTCTCCCGGCCGTGCCGCCCCTGTTATCCCCACATTACAGCTTTTATTTTTACATCTGCGAAACACCAGCTCTCAGGGCTGGGAAAACAAGGGGGCCCAAGCCCAGGCGGGGAGGGGAGGCTGTGCAGGTCAGGGGGGTTGTGGCGGGGTCACGGCACAGTGGCGATTGAATGAACTGGTTTAAAAATAAGAGCAAGTGATTTAAAAAAAACAGGAGTAGCCTGCTCTGATTACAGAGCTGTCCTGCGATCCACGGTTTGGGCAGCTGTATCCTCCGCTCTCCAGCCCAGCCGCACAGCCAGCTCCTGCTGAGCAGCAATGCACTGATCTGGGCAAGTAAATAGAGCAGGTTAAAAAAAGCAGCATCGGTCCCGGCCTTATTATGAGACCCAAGAGCTGGGATAGGAGCTGTGGCGGCTGCCAATTTCCACAACCCAGAATTAAATTGTTTCTGATGGACTCCGCAAAGTACGGTCTCCACTCAATTAGCTCTGCTCCCACCAAACACGGCTCTGCGCGGTCGGGCAGGGAGACACGCCGAGCACTGGAGGCTGCTGCAGGAGAAGGCGAGCGCCCTTGTGCAGACAGACAGCATGAAATCACAGGGGGTTTGCAGCACCTATGCCAGGCTCCTGGGCAGAAGCAGGGAAGGTCCCTGCAATTCCAGGTGGGTATTCAGCAGAACAGACCCATTTGATGGCACAGGTCAAAATCCTTGCTACAAGAAAGCCACTGGGAAGGGCTCATCCCTTCCCCATGCCCAGCAGCGCAGGGCAACCCCGCCTTGTTTTAGGTTAGAAAAGATGCTGAAGGTCCCATGCTGCTTTTGCTGCTGCCTGGGGTACTTCTTCCTGATGGATGTGCTGGTCAAAACCAGCTGCTGCTGGGGCCAGCACCATTTCTGACACCCTGTTGGCAGCTCATGACCCTCACTGAGGTTGGCATCAGCTTGGGGATCACAGCAAAAACACTCCTCTGGGCTGCGGTGAGGTTACACACTGCAGGGAGCCCAGTCCGACATGGATCTGATGCCCATCCTCACCGCCGTGACAGCGCTACCCGGTGACATCAGCCCACATAAGGCAGATGTTTTCTCATTAACAGACTTGACTCACAAGTGGTCTCAGATCCCCAGGGTTCACCACAATCCCCAGAGAACGGTGAGGAGCCTGGAAATAAATCAGCCCCAGCCAACCAGGGGCGGCTTTGCTCTCCCAGACAGACTGAATCCCCGAGTGACTGAGCCCCTGAAAAATGGCATGTCGCTGCTCCTTCATCTGTTACACGGCTCCTGGCACGGCAATCCAGGCACTCCCCCAGACACACGCTTTACCGGTTGCTTTCCCACCTCCCTCCTCCTCCAGGAGGCTGATGCCTTGATCATCACCGTGCAGGGAAGATGGAAGATGCGGGCTTGGTGCGACCATGGGTTAAACCTGTGGGCAGCTCGTTCTGTCCGATTGAACTGCAGCCTTGTCCCTGAAACACCAGAACGCCAGCTCCATCACCGGGAGCTGAGATGTGTGCAGGGAAAAGGGTGACTCCTCAGTGCCCTGAGCAGACGGTCTCACCAAGCCATCTGTCAGAGCGATGGCCCAGCCCTCGACACCGGCACGGTCCCCTGCACGGCTGCGCTCCACAGCTGCCAACGCTCAGATCTGTCCTCCCTGCCACGAGGGACCGTGACAGCCGGGGACACGGGCAGGATGGGGCTGATTCTTGCATCTGCTCTCATCCTGGTGGCAGACAGCAAAAAATCCTCCTCCCAGGGAAAGGTCCTTCCACCCAGCAGCTGCATGCCCTTTGCAAGGGGCACTGACACAGCTTTGAACTACCCGTCCTCTGCGCTGAGCAGCAGGAACAACGGTGGGAATCTGAACTGCTCGGGATTTTGGGGAGCTGTGAGTGCACCCTGCAGCAAGTGTGGTCAGGGACCAGAGACCACAGACAGCAACACGGATGTCTCTTGCCCCTGCGGTGCCATGGTCCTTCCTTAGGGACTAGAGGTCCTACAGATCCACCACCACAAGCACAGCCTGGGTCAGACTGGAAAGCTGCCCTCAAAATGGGAGGGAAGCATCTGCTTGCGTCTGGGCAAGTCTGAAACTTCATTCACAAACCAAACAACAGTTCAGCAAATGGCCAACTGCACAAGCTCATCCCAGAACCAAGACAGATTTCTGCTTCATCTGGCTCAGGCACCACTTCCAATAACGAGAACAGCCCATCTCATGCAGCAGTACCATCCTGCCGAGGAACGCCAGCAGATGGGAATGCCGGCAGTCGGGAATGCTGCTCGCCATCCAGACACAGGCTGCCCTGCAGGGCCGACGGCCTCAGCTGTAAACTGGGTTTTGCCTATTATGTGAGTGTGCCGGAGAGCAGGATTGCTGCACAGCACAGCTGGACACACAGGCACCTTGGTCTTCTGACAATGAAATGAGCCTAGTTCTTCCCAAAACCATGCCTCATGGAGTACCTCCTTTAAAAGTTCCTCTTTCTTCTTCTCCAGACTCTTTGTCTAGTATCTGCTCTGCAGAAGCCTTCATCCCCAAAACCCTGGTACCTCTTTCATGTATGGGCTTAACAGGAGCCCCTGGGAGGTATCTCACAGCCCACCCTCCACCTCTGCAGCCACAGCCCCAGGAGATTGCAGAGGCAGAATCTCAGCAAGTCAGTGGGTCCCAAAAAGCTCGTCTCCCTGGTGCCACTGCAGAACCAACTTGTCATCTCCTTGCTCATCCCTCCTGGCCTGCAGCCAGGCTTGCTCCTAGTGCTGCTGCTGGAGAAGCCCAGGCTTGTGCCACCATCACCAGGACCAGAGAGGGACCCCAAGGAATTCATCTCACCAGTGCGCCTGCCACCAGAAAAGGAAGATGTGACAGAAGGGAGCAGGACAAGCCAAAGCAAGACATGGGATCTGGGACAACACAGCCAGCTCCTGGGGACTCTCCCTGCACTTTACAAAGCAGCAGTCCTGAGCTGGACACATACACGAGGGGGTGATTTACTGAACAGCTTCAGTCCCCAACTCCACTTGCAAGCAAGCATTGAGTCACTAAAGTACAGCAGGACTTCAGGCAACTGCTAACGAGTAAATGGAGCAAATAAGCTAATTAGAAGACTGACAGTCAAATGAGTGATGTTGGGAAGATGATTCATTCCTGCAGCGATAAGCAGGCCACAGCAGAGAGACCATCTCAGGAACACGCCCTTACTGCCTGGGGGGTAGGAATTCCCTCAGAAGGGGCTGGGCTGTGCCCAGCTGCAAATGTGGAAAGGCAGATGCTTCACAGAAACTTCTTTTGATGGTGATAAGCACCCAAATAAGTGTCCTGAGCTGCAGACACACCAAATACAACAATCCGTGTAAGCAGTACAAGCCTCCATCACAGAGACCTTCACAGAACATCTCTTGGTCTGGAGGGAGACCAAAAGATTTCCAGAGCTTCTCTGCTTCTAAGATCATGTGTCTGGGTACCAGACGGTCCTTATGGCCAGTCCCACACCCCTACATCATCCTTGCTCTCGACTCCTTCTTTGGATCAGTTTGGATACCGTGATATAAGGAAATGGCACAAACATGAACCATGGAGCCCACTTTCACGGAGCAGGCTAGGTCCTTGTGGGTCTGTAACATCCCACACGCAACTTCAAGGGTGAAACATCCCAACCAGTAATAACTGGGGCACTATGGGGGGCAAGGAAAGGCTCAGCCTGACCCTGTCATCCAGTGAAGCTCTGCTCCACGCAATACTCCCACGGCCAGCTGCATGGGGCTGGAGGCACTGGGGGAAGCTGCTGGGAGCCCTGCAGTGCCATGGTCAGTGTCCGTCCGCTCTCCCTCTACGTGATGACCGGACACGGTAACGCAGAAGGGGCGAGGGCTGAAGATGGAGCCACAGCAGGCAGCTACAGCCAGACGTGTCCGACAGCACGGTGCTGTTCTCACCTGCATGGGCCTGGAGAACATGTTGGTCAGCACTTCTTTCCTTGCTTCAGAGTATTTGTCAGCACCAAATGTTTCATTTAAGCTTTTCTGGAGGAGAAAAGAGAGAAAGCACTCAGTGTTGGCAAGCCATGGTGGTAAGGGGACCCGGGCAGACCTTACTGGGGCAAACAGCAGCTCAGCAGAGCCAAATTAATCCTTTCCCTGCAAATCCCCTTGTAAACCAAAAAGGGCACATGAAATTTGGCTTTGATCAGGTCCCAACAGCCCCAACAGGACTGTACACACCGTCCTTCTGAGCGCTGACCCACCTCCCGGGGTCAATGGCAGGCAGTACCCAGGGTAGGGGACCGCTGGCTCTGTCCCCAGGTGTGTCGTGTGCGAGAGTGCCCGTAATCCCCCGTAACCCCTCGCCTGACCCACGCCTGGCTCCCATCCAGCGACTGAGAGCTTCAACACGTGGACTAATGGGACTCTGGGGAGATGTAGATACGGGAGATCACTGCCTGGGGCTGGCGGCGGGGAAGGGCTGGAGGGTTCAAAGTGCAGGAGAGGAGCTGAGTGCGCAGCCCCGCGTCTGCTGACACGG